TGAATCCTAACACCCTAAGCTTCTTCCGTCACGTAATTAATATCTAAACGAAAGCTCGAAGTCACCTACTCTCTATGACCATTGATAAGGTCATATCACTTGTCTCGACTTTCCGAAATGAGTTCGTAGGAATCACTCCTTATCGATCCCATAATCGAAAAAATAAACTTGACTCCACATCAATGGTCGATGGCATAGTCCGATTTCATCAATCTTCCCTTCCGAACGAACGAGGGGATCATGCCCTACCTGACCCAAAGAAGTAAGAAAGATCGATCGGAGGCATCATACTGACAGTCCCCATATATTATCCTTGCGAGCACTTGTCGATAAGCCACCTGTATTAACTGTTTTCGTTAGAGAGTCGAGTCTCCAGAAATGACCGTCACTAATTCGTTTCTACCAAAGCAGACACCTTCAGTTCCTCAGTGGTACTTACGAACTGCTTATGTATGGTGTTCACAAGCTGTGGGATGGCAATAATGCCGGGGTAATATATCCTGACCTGTGACTATTGTTTGCTTCTTGAGTGATTGCAGTACATGTTTCTGTTTCTGTTTGATCGATTGCATTCAACTGAAGCTATTATATCCAGGAAATTTAAATACTTTTTCTTTCTTTGCTTTACCATTCATTTTCTCAAGGATGGTGGATTTATTGATTACTGTGAATTCTCTTCATTTTCGTGAAACTTATTTGCTTACAATAGTCAAACACGATATCTTCATTTTTTTGTTTTGTTTTGCCCACTGCAGAAGAAGTGCAAAGGCTGAGTGACATGTTTGAGCGGCAATTCCTTTCTTCCATTGTCTTCAACCTCAGCTTCTGAAAACTTCTTTGGGTTTTGAATATTGTGCGTCTGCTGCCACTGTTATCATGTATTTTTGCAGTTTCAAACAACCGATGTCATTTGCTTTTGCTCCGACGAGAATTGGAATAGAAGGTTTTGCAGATTTTGAACTAAATGCAGAGGAAGCACACATCTGCAGAGCCACAAGGAATTTTACTTGCAGCTAAGAAAGAACTAAGAGCAGAGGAAGCAGGCTAACTGTGACTGGAACTGTGTTTTCCGCAACTGGAGTTAGATTAATGTATATGGAGATTGATGCTGTTGTGGTGGTAGACATCCATCACAATTCCTCTCAGAATTCTTAGTACATTTTGAACAGAGGAAGACGAAGAAGAATGTATGTATCATGTATCAGGTTAGTCATAATGGACGAGCATGATTGCCACTTCCAAGCGACATGAATCTAGACCAAGACATCACTCTGGTTGTGTTGTGGAGGATCATCTTGAGGCTGGCGAGTGTTTCTTCTCCTACTTGTTTCTTGGTTGTGGAAAGGTGTTACTGTCTTACCTCATTTGTTGCAGCAACATAGCAAAAATTAATAGATTTCATCAACATGAAGAGAAAAGATTGGGTGAAATCTCTTTGGAGAGGGAAAATAATAGAGTAAAAAAAGGAGAACAAAATGCTTAGAAAGATCATCAAATTATGGGGTTCTTCCTCTTCCGGCTTCTAACATTAATGAGTGCCCTGTGTTGTTAGCTAAAGAAACAGGAAAACAAACCCAACTCAAGGAGAAGCATAGTAGAGATTTACAGTACACCAGTAAGTTTCATGGCCTATCTTTGCCTTCTTTGGTCAGTAAATAGAAGAAGAAAAGAGAAAGAGAAACCTGTGATCACTTGTATCTATCTATCTATCTATCTATCTATCCATCTATCCATATATATATTGTCTCAAAAGCTCAATTCCTAGCAGAGATCACTCGCTCCATTCTGGTATGCTTTCTAGAGTAGGCCTCCACTCCATGCACCTCTCCTTGTCGCCTGCACCACTTCTGCTCTCTTCTCTTTGGATGAGAGAAGCCATGGCATCATGGGACACCCCTCCCTGTCTCAGCATCTCCTTCAGCTCCTGCTTCGTCACTACCAGCTTGATCCTGATGGCCCTCGCTCCTGCAGCGGCCTCTGATTCATCCCGCACCTGTTGAGCCATCAGAGGTGTTTGGTAACTTAGGATCTCTCCGTTCTTGATCGCCCTCCTCTCCTCACGAACTAAGCAGTTCCCCATGCCAACTACAACGGTGGATGCAAGGATGGGGGAGGGGAGTGCATCAGTATTTAAAAGGAAGAAGACGTGAACAATGGCACTCTAGCTTGGAATGATGTTGGAGGAATGCCCAGGGCGAAAAGGACCCCCACTTAGACTCCATCAAATCGTGGGGACACAAGATTTTGATTCCAAAAGAAGAGAATCAACAACAAAACGCACACTATCTTCCATAACAAGTGCATCTCTTCCCATGATCGAATCGCTTGTCCTTCAAAGATATTCACTCTAGAAATTCAAAAATATATATCAACCCAACAAAAAGATATTCTTTGGGGTTGCTGAAGTGGGTTGGATCATGCAAATATTCTGTGCCAACAAAGTGATGGAACATGAAAAGAGATCACTTTAGCAAAGCAAAAGCTCATCCATTGGGCCCCTTAGAAAGCAGAGCAATCGGAAAGATGGAATATGAAATCTATCAAGAGGAAATGTCGAAAAGAAACCTTTCATAGCAATACAAAAAATGTTATATGGGAATGGAAGAAGGATCAGCTCATTAAGACTTCACTTTCACCATCGAGTGGAGGGGCAGCCACCAACTTCGCGTTAGTTGTGGTGCTGTGGATGGTTGGGAGCGAGAGGAGACGATGGAAGCATGGGCGGTGGCTTGACCACGAGGATTCACCAGTCAACCTGATGTTGCGTTCCATTGCTGGCGCAGCGTGCGTTCGTTCATGAGCATGTTGTGCATCCCAAGATATATAATCAAAACGAAGATTCGTGTATCGATCAAAACTCAGACGGATGCCGTCTCGATCATGATCGAAGAGATGGAGATGATGAGGTGACAAGGTGGTGAACATGAGACGAGCATGATTCATGCATGGAAGGGAGGCTCGGAGTGGTGGGGGGATAGGATTACGTTGTCAACACGCATGCCCGAGGAAGGTGGCTAGTGGAGCCAAGAAAACGACCGTCTTCTTTAACCATACCTACTGTTCTCACCGAAGAAGAGCACTCATCCTCACCTTGAGACTTGGCAGGCATGCAGTGGCCATCCATTGCTTGGATTGTTAATTTCCGATAGACCTGTGTAGATCCTCGGTTGGGCCACCTCAAACTCATCCTCCTCTTGTCACCGCAGAGATCTCCCCCACCACCTCTACCTCAAGGTGATAAGGTGATGCTCACCATGACGTTCGTCGTTGCATCAAGCAACAACAATCTCTCTCTCTCTCTCTCTCTCTCGGTCGGCCATTACAGGATGCCGTGGCCGGCGGTGGCGTGTCGTCGATGCAAGATCGCGTCTTTATCTGCAGCGAAGTGGGACGGCGCCGCCTACAATCGAACATCGAGCATGCTTGAGTCTCTGCATGAACGCACTTGACCCACCAACCCAACAACGGACGGCAGCAGCGCAACTTTAAAGGAAACAATAAGCTCTACCGCCCTTTAAGACTTCCATCCGCGCAAAAGGTTTGTTCCGGTAACGATGGCTCTCACACTTGCCACTTCTTTAAGAATAATAAAGAAAATCCTAAAGACCCTTAATTATTTTTTTAATAATAATAAATACTATATATATATATTATGATACTAAATTATTGTTGTTATTTTTTTTCTAATATCATAAAACATTCAAAGAGAAAATACACACTTCTCTTTGCTCAACAGTTGAGTTCTCAAATGGAATCAGATTCCCATGCCTTTGAAGGATCATCTCTGGAAGTGGAGGAAGTAGATCACCGCTTGTGGCAATCTTTTATGCTTGAGCTTTAGATAACATTGCAGCAAGAAGAAAGCCTGGAAGCCACCATCGACCACCACACCTCGTAAAGCAGCAATTCACAGAAATCAACATGCTTCTTTCCATGGTCGACACATTATTTCTACATTGCAAGACTATTGAGTACAGAACCGCACCAATTACTACAAAGAGCAAGTGAATATAATAAATGCTCTAGACAAATTGATGTGTCCATACTTGACCGAGCAAGGCTCAATCTGAAGTATCAAAAACTTGAGTCGCAACTACTCGATTACGACCAAACATCATGTACCAATTCCTACAGAATCGGGTGCGATTAAAGTTCTCCTAGGTATTAGTGGCTCTAGTGTAGATTTGTTGGCTTGCATGGGCAGATACCATCCTGATATCACCCCTTGCCATCAGATCCTTGATTGCTCTCCTTGCTAGTGATCCGTTAATCTGAAAAAACAAAATAGGAAAAATATTATCTGAGCTCAATTCATGGTAATGCATATTGTAACAAAATCCCAAACTTCAAAAAAGAGCAAAGAGAAATGAGTTATTAGTCGTCAAATCATTACAAGAAAATTAAAAATATCACCATTAGTGCCAAATATGACTAACGTCAAGCATCCAAAATGGTGTTACCGTGGCATGAATAATATTAAAGAAGCAGCAGCCAAAAAGCCACATTGTCATGTAACTTCCAAGCAAGTCAACACACAAAATTTCAAAATAGATTTTTAAAAATATGAACCATAATTAGGTCGAAAAGAAGAAAACAATTTATTTGCAGAAATCCATTCATAAGTATATAAAGAACCACTACTATAAGAGAAACCTTAATCAAGATTATAGTTAGTGAAATGAAGCAAATATTTGAAGAAAAAAAAGTAAATATTTGAAACCGCTCTGTGTCACATTAGGTGACAGTGCATGCCACCACCATATATAGATTAATAAACAAAAGTAAAGCAATTTAGTGAATCTGGTAAAACATCAGTTCCACTTATTGAAGGACATGCTAGTCAAAGTTACGGTAGTTCTCGATGACATGCTCTCAAGTATACAGCTCCATGTTTTTTAACTACCAGCTAGAGATGTCACTTTCATAAACATTGACAGTATCCAACAAAGCAACTAAAAATAAACTACACAGGCACATGAATATACATGATAAACTACCATTGCCAACTACAGTCAATCAAGTTGTTTTTTCTCCCTCCTCTCATTAGCACAAAGTGTAAAGTCTATCAACACATATCGAGCTATTAGCAGAAAATTGGATCCCATAAACTAGACTGTACACTTGATAAATATTTTAAAGAACAAATTTGATAACATAAAGGATCCATTGCACAAACACTCAGGCTTCTGCCCAATACATAATCTTAAGGAGGAACAATACTAATATGCTGAGTAATATTACTCTTGACACCATGGGTTCGAGATAATCAAATTAGCCTATTTTATAGTAATCAAAGTTAAATAAGAATGATTCATTCTTTTAATGTTTAATTTTTAAGCTCTTTTTCTCTTTTTGGATGATTTGGATCTGCAAGTACAAATAGGATTCACATTATTATTCCATGTGAAATTGTAACTTGTAAAGCTTAAGGAAAAATTCTAAGAACATCAGACAGACAGGGCAATATGAAAGTAAGAAACCACGGGCAAAAAAGAAATTAGGAAGATGAACCAAAAACATTAGGCTCATCAATGGTAGCAATTCAAATGCATGCTGTTAAAGCTTTCGTTTATTAATCTTCCAAACCATGAATTAAAACAATTAATGGCCATTTTTTGACCTATGGTAGAGCCTAGCAGAATGATGTCCGTAACAAGTCAATGCTTAATCAGTAATCGCTCTTCAGGAAGCACTATATATTTGCACATAAGCAACAATATTTTAGCATAAATCGTTGAGGATACACTCGGCCTAATGACTGAAGAAGATTGAGCAAACCAGTAAGATTAGCCATGCTTAAGTCTCTATTTCTCGTAGTCAACCTATTTATATATCAAAACTGTAGAACACATATTTCCAGATGCACAAGGTAGATACGCACAAATCATCCATATAGATACGCACAAATCATCTATATAGATACGCACTCCAACAATTTATGACAACATAAATCACATCTAGCTAAATTTATGATGTCATAGCAGAAGATAATAAAGAATAAAAAATAATAACAACAAAAAAGACGAGCTTTCAGGTTATAATCAAAGCAACACTACATTACTTTACATAGATTGAGTGTCGAAGAATTCGCAGCAGGAATTCATCATTTGATCGATCGAGCAGATTAAAGTAAAGATCTTTTACCCGCAATCTCTCGGAGAGAACAGAAGGGGTGATCTGCTTGTACTTGGGAACCTCGGAGAGCATCTTGTCGTAGCTCGCCTGGTCAAAGAGGACCGCGTTGTTCACCTTTTCCTTCTGCTTTCCCTTGCTCCACTTCTGCAATCCAAACCATAAATCCACTTGACCACCATTTCAACCTAAACCAAGAAAAGAAGAACCCCTACCCCCCAAAGGCCCTAACTTCGGCCCAAGAATCACCCCGTACCTTCTTCTTCTGCTTGCCTCCACCGGATTTGGCCGGCTTCGAAGAAGCGGCGGGGGCCTTCTCCTTCTTGGGCGCCTGTCCCGCGAGTCAGACAAGACCGTAAGCAAATCGAGCCATCGGCGACGTCAAATCAGAGCGAAGAAAGACAAGATGACGATCGGTTTACCATTTCTTTTCTCTGAATCCAAACGCTGGGGAGAGGGATTGCCGCGGCGCTTCAGAAGAAGCAGGGATTTCGCTCTTCTTAAGGGGGCTTGCTAGGGTTTGTGAGAACCTAATTCCGGCCCAATTATATTTCTGAGCTCATCAATTCGGCCCAAGTTGTACCTCTGAGCTTAAGATCCAGACCGTCCACCATGCCGGCCCAATTATATCTCGGATCTCAACGATTCAGCCCAATTATATCTCTGAGCCCAACAATTCGGCCCAATTATATCTCTGATATATATATATATATATATATATGAAGAGTTCAGCCACAGTTTTCAAGCACATTCACAGTTCATGTTTTAGGGGCAATTAACTGTTCTCATGTTGTGGCATTTCAGAAGTATGGGAAAAGGTAGGAGCATAGTTAGCTTGATCACTGAGGTTCAGATTAAAAGACTATCAAAGATTCAACAAGTTTGTGATGGAATTTAAGAGAATGTCATGGTGGATTCTCAATGGACATTCTTGGATTAATTTATGTAGCTTATGAATCTTCTTATCAAACTATGTGCCAAGCAAGTTCATACAACCATGCAGGAAGGCCTGAATTCTACCTTCAGGTCTTCAGTTACATGGCTATCTGATCCAGATGGAGCTGGATTTCATGAACATATTTCCACAATACATAATATTCAAATACCCTCATAATAGCCTGCAATGCATTTGTTGATCTGAGGAAATGGTTGAAGAGATCACAATCTGAAGTCACACTTATGTTCTAGAGATACTTTGCTGTCCTCATGAGCAAGCAGTTCTTCATCCTCAACAATGTGTGGGTTATTGATCTTTTTCTGGCCTCAATAATCTTAATTCTCACACCTAACACCTAAAGTATGATCTAAAAAATGTGTTTATAATGTCTTAATTTTCATAAAAGGAGTCAACAGGAATCCAATCCAAGGTTTAAAGAACTTCATGGATCTGATAGATCTGCCAGAGTTGTTGTGTATTCTATGACAATTAAGAGGGCTTTTACTGCAGGAAGACAAGGCCAACATGACAACTGGAAATGCTTGCTAATGGCCAAGGTGAAGAAATTTTACCAGCTGAGATTGACATGAACAAAGTCAAGTCTTCAAGTATATGACTTGAGAACATTTTTTTTCCCCCAAAGTTCTTGAAGCATTTTCATTTGAAGATGAAGCTTGTAGCTACTTCCAAATATTTCAACAAGAAGAAGAAAATAAATTTTATTCTCCAAGAGATTTAAACATACATTCCCGTGCCGCGATCACCAGGAAAATTCAGAAATCATGATCACCAATCTGTAAAGGTAGGAATGCCAGCACTTGGAACTTTCAATCAATATATATATATATATATATATATATATATATATATATATATATATATATATATATATATATA